GTAAATAGAGCGCAACATTTGCAGCAGATTTAATTGTAATTCTTGTGCCCGCTCAATACGATCGTGTATTCATGTTAGGCTTGAAAGCTCTCCCGACCTCTCTGTTATTACCCTCCGCTTTTTTGTAGAATGCCAGAGGAGCGTCGGTGGGCGGGAATCATCTGTATGATTTCATTGATCATGAAGCCATGCAAGCCAAAGGAAAACAAGAGAGGCAGAGAATACTGAAACATGCACTCATCTCAGAGTGTTGAATCACGAGTAACAGACGTACCTCAAATTCCCTGTTAATGAAGACAAATGGCTAGCACAGGTGGGACCCACTCAACACTTGTATACTTAAGCCTTTAGCATATAAAAGCTCGACTACCCTTCCCCCCCTCTCGCCGGCTAGGCGAGTCCGCCAGGCATGACGCATTGGATACTTCCGAGCCGCTTTGGATTTCCGGCCGCCCACAGATATGACAAGAGAGAAGGTGACGCCCATATCTCTACTACTCTCCCTGTAGTCGTCAACCCTGAGGCTGGCGGCAGTCGGAGATCCGAGTTACCGCCCATCTCGTCTGTCTTTCCCGGTAAATAATGGAAATTTCAGAAATATATATCAGAAAATCTCGTCGCAACTTTACCTCGCTCCGCCAACAATTAATAGGAAAGAAAAAGAATAAATCTCATAACATATTAATCATGTTGGGATGTTTGAAGTAAAAGCTAAGTTAGGCTATAAATGGAAGGTCACATGATTCACAGTCACCCACCGCTAAGCTAAAATACAAGCAGGCTGATGTTAATGCTGTTTTTAAATTCAACAGGGGGGAATTTACTGACGTACTTTATTCGTAGGACAAAATGTTAAATCTCTTCAGCTTGTGTTTAACCCGGAGATCTTTCTTTCAGGCATATAAACATGGGCACAGACTCATAACAATGCGTTTGGAAAAGATGGAAAAATCTGCCAACATCAGCTGCAGCAGGGCTCTTATGAAGGCTCACATCTAAATAACAATATACAATACATGGGGTTTTACATGTGATGTATTGGTGGTGTGAGGGTTTTGTTTTGGACGGACCCTGCCTTAACACACTCCTTTTCTCTTATGTATCGATAGGGAGCACAGCGTAGAGAGGTGGAGGCAGCCAGGTGCTGTCGAGAGCGTCTCGGATCAGCCGCGCTGAGAGACAGAGCCCACGACCTTCCTCACATGCTGTGTTAACAGAAAGAGGTAAAACACACACACACACACACAACAACCACACACACAGCACGCACACACGCACGCACGCCACGAACGCACGCGCACACGCCGGCACACACACACAACTCTCTCCGCCTCATTCTGTTTTCATTTTACTCGTTCGTTATATGACCAGCTCTTGTTAGGCCTACTCACTTCGCTTTCTGTAGGGCCCCACCTCCTTCGGAAAGGGGTTTTTGGAGGTTGAGTGCCTCGCTGAACGTGAGTTGTTGGTCTTTCTTGTCTGCAGCAGCAGAAAAGCATTTTCGATTGTTTGATGAACTGCAAAGTGCCTGTTATGCGGTAAATTACTGCGATCGGCAGTATCGCGTTTTCACACACAACACACACATACACACACACACACCACACACACACACACCAACACACACACACACACACACACACACACACACACACACACACACACACACACACACACACACAATGTCTAAAAAAAATAATAATAAAAAGTGAATTAATTAATGTCTGAAAAAAGTTGTAGTATAATAATTTCACCTATACAAACTCGTTAATACGAGGGAATAAAAAAAAGATAAGTCCCATAAGAGCATAACATATCAGTGTATAAAATATTTTAGACTTTTATTGCTTTCAATTATTTCCACCATGTTTTTTTATGAAACCAGAACATTTAGGACTTGACATCTCTCTATTATGGAAAGCCATGGGATATTAATGAAATGGACCAGTGTGGAATTCCTGCTTTTATTGCTTTTCATCGAAATACAATAGGCCATCGCTTAAAGAATATATACGTCCTCTTAATTTTTAACAAAACCAAACAGTGTTGTCAAATCTTCTTGTAATTTTTCTGATTCCAAAAACGTGTTGAGTAAACGTTTTCTTGTACGTCTTATCTCTATGTTCTTCAATGTCTGCACTTTGAAACATTATGCGTGAGGCACATGTTGAAGACTTCACTAAACTTAATCAGGTCTCTGTTAGAGAATGATATTTTCACAAGTAGTGTGTCTTCTGCCTAAGTATGCCAATTAGCAGGGTTGGGATAAAAAGGGGACCAGGGATCGACTCCTGAGGGACACCAAATTTAACTTTTACAAAGTTTTAAAATTGGAGCACAAAGACGATTCTGCCCTCGAGGTAGACCCCAAATCGGTTAAGATCTGGGCCAGAGAGGCCGACCCACTTTTCCGACCTTTACTAAAAGTGCCGTCATTACAAAGAGAGGCCATGTTGGAAACTCTTATGAAGGTTATTTAACGCAGTGGAGATTTGAGGGCAGGAAACTAATACTGAATTTAGGAAGGTTTCAAAAGAGTGGAAGAGTACACCCTTCACTAGGAGAAACAGCTTGCTACCAGACATAACAATAATACATGAACACAGCAAAAAAGAAAAAAACTTTTCACAAAAGGTGTCACACGCTGACTAGCAACCAAGAATGAGAGTTGATGTAATCAAACTGTAGGACTGACAATAATAATTCATATGACAATTGCAGACTTACATTTTGATATTTAAGTGGAAATTGCACCTTAGTTTCAGCCAAGATTGGGCTGACTACCCTTTATCTGGGAGACACTTCCATAAACATTGTTTAAGAGGTGTTGATTCAACTTGAGGATTTGGAAGATGTAGTTTGTGGTGCTTTTTGAATGTACTTCATTATACAGACATACTGTGTGGTTGTGGTAGTCGTCTACCAATCAGAGGGTCACGATTTTAAATCCATGCAATCAATATCTTGAAGGGTCCTCAGGCATGGCTAACAGTGGAGAGTGTAAGTCTCTTTGGATTTTGGATAGAAAGCATCAACTGAATGTCATTTATTGATGTATATTTGAAGATGTTTTTTTTTCCTGGTCGGAGGGAGAGAGGAAGCAGAGGTCTGTCAAATCAATGGCCAGCCTTAATCAATGTGGCCTCCTGTAGAGATGTTGCTTGAAGACCGATACACCATCACACAGGCCAGAGCACTAGACAATCATACCATAAATACAGACACACACTATGATAGTCATGTTTACAGTGTTTTAAGCTCTATTCAAACTCATAAGTGGTCACAGATGTAGTCTAAAAACTCATAATCTTTGCTTTTTACCTGCCAATATAAATCTAATGTGCAATGAAAGTATATTTGGCGAGCAACATGTACAGTTAAAGTTGTAGGCATGCGCAATGATGCTGGCCAATGCTACTATATACA